TCCGGGGCCTGGGCAGCCTCATCCTCTGCACCCCTCATATCTAAGTCCCCCATGTCCTGAGCTCAGACTCCCTAATGCCCTCAGAGCTCTATACCTGTGCCCCCATGTGTAGCCTCCTGTTCGTCCCCTATACCCTCGCCCTCAGCCCACACCCCCGCGTTCTCTACACCAGGACACCCTCATCCCCCAAGCCTTGATCCCACTGGCTCAAGCCTGGAGTCTGCTCACCTCCGAGGATTTCACAGGCCGGACACTTTCCCCCTGAACCTATAGCTCCTCCTCTAGCCCGTGGATGGTCTCCCCGGTTTTGAATACCATGAACCCTGGATCTCTACTCCCAGATCCACACACCCAGCCTCCCCACATGTCTCCACAATCTCCCTACACCCCCAAGCCCAGACCCACAAACTTCTACCCCACCACACCCCCACCAGCGTACCCTCCACATCAATGTTGAAGCTACAGCTGTCACAGATGTCCTTGGCTTTGACCTCAAGGCGGTAATCCCCACGGTCCCCCAGTACCACCTTCCCAATGTGCAGCTCCACAGTGAACACCTGGGGGCCAGGGCCAGGGGTGTGGATACACTGGACGACCCCACAGCCCCTCACCTCCCCCAAGCCCACTTCAGAACTGTGCCCAAGTCCTCACCCCTACCCAACCCAGGGGCCTTGAAGGCCTAGCACAGGGGCCTCAGCACCCAGTGGCCAGCTCAGTCTCTCCTGGCTGGACAATCTTGACTCCTGGGCCCAAATGACCACACTCAAGTGCACTATACCCAACCCCAAACACCCCCCACTGCTCAACAGAGCCTCCACCCAGGGGGCTCCAGGCCACAGCTGTGCCTCAAATAATAGGCCTGCTCCGCCCCCAGCCCGCCCGCGCACCCCCCATACTGTGGAGTCCTCACATTACTGGCAGAGTCGTGGGACTCCCTGAAGGAGAATCGGGCCCCACTCTTGCTGCCCAGCTCTAGCCACTTGCCCTTGAACCACTTGATGGCCGGTTTGGCAGGAAGCTCCTTCCCGTTCACCTTGGCTGTGATCACAGCATCCTTTCCTGGGTAGGGTGAAAGGAGAGCCATCAGGATCCCCAGAACTCTTCAGAGGGGGACTGTGAGCTTGAGAGACCCAGTGCCTCCTCCCTCAGACCCAGGGTCCAGGCCCCGCCTCCTCCCTCAGACCCAGGGTCCAGGCCCCGCCTCCTCCCTCAGACCCAGGGTCCAGGCCCAGCCTCCTCCCTCAGACCTGGGGTCCAGGCCCCGCCTCCTTCAGGCCCCTCACCAGTCTCCACTGATACAGAGTCTGGCTTTTGCAGGAAAATGCCAGTGGGCTCCTCAGCAGTCGGGGACTGGTCCTCAGGTGGGGCTTCTGCTCCGGAGACAGGATTAGGATATCAGAGAGTGGCTAGGGTCGAGCAGCAGGGCATGGGGAAGAGGCCCCCTGTTCAGTAGGCTCAGAGACCATGGGGGCAGAGTGGCTTTTCCTGAACTGGGAAAGACCGTGTGTCCTATAGCTGCCTGTGTGACCTAACTAGACTCCCCCAGCCCTTTAGCCTCAGCTTCCCCGTATGTGAACCAGAGGGTGTAGACTAAATGGTCCTTTAGGGTAGGAGAGGCTTAAAGACGGACTGGGGCATTCAGAGCTGGGCAGGACGTGGTGACCAACTAGCCAGTTGATGGGAGCCTGAGGCCAGGCTGAGGGGCTGGCGCTCTCCTAGCACTAGGGAGCCATGGCAGACTGTGAGCAGGGAGGGCTGGTCACCTCTGGTGCTGTGTGGGGACAGACCAAAGGAAAAAGACCAGGAAGAGGCTGGGGAGAGGGCACAGAGGAGTGTAAGAGGGAGACGGGATGACAGGCCAGGGATACCCTCTCACCTTTGGGGGGCTCTGCAGGAGCCTCCTTAGGGGGAACTTCTTTGGGGGCATCTTTGCCTTTTGGGACCTTTTTGGCTGCTGAGATAGGAAATGTTCACACTTGAGCATGTGCTGGCCACCTTCCTCCCTCAGACCCAGGGGTCCATGCCCCAGCCCCCATCTCTCAGACTCAGGGTCCAGGCCCAGCCCTCCTCCTTCAGACCCAGGGGTCCAGGGCCAGGAGTCCAGGCCCCAGCCCTCTCCCTCAGACCCAGGAGTCCAGGCCCAGCCCTCCTCCCTCAGACCCAGGGGTCCAGGCCCCAGCCCCCCTTCCTCAGACCCAGAAGTGGGGGGTGGGCATCCTAGGTGTAAATTTATATCTAATCCTGAGTCTGTGAGATCAGGTTTCCCCTACCCCAGGCAGGTGGTGCCCCAGCTACCCAGGCCACTGGGCCCTGACCTTTTGGTTTCTGGGGGTATAATTAGCTCTTCCTCTAGGCTAGAAACTGGACACCTCCTGCTGACCACAGCAGCCTTCCCCTGGGGTGCTGGTTCCATGGGGGCACAGGGGCAGAAAGGGGCTGGACCCCCACCCCACTCCTGGTTGGCCTGATGCCAGGGGACGCAACACGCCAAGAAGAGGTCCACCACCCAGGGCCTGTCTCCTGTGCAGACTTCCTCATAGAGAGGGAGCCCATGCCTCCACAGAGAAGTGCCCTCCAGTCCCATTGGAAGAGGGACCTCCCAAACTGTACATAAAGAAAGGGCTCCAGGGCTGGGTGTGGCTCAGTGGCACTGTGCTTGCCCAGGAAATGCAAGGCCCTAGGTTTGATCCCCAGAACTGCAAAAGAGAAAAAGAAAGATCTTGGGTTCCTATTCCAAGAAGATCCCCTAATTCCTACACAGGGCAGCCCCAATTCCCATGGAAAGAGGGCTCTCCTCCTCCTTATTGGAGAAGAGTCCCAAGTCCCATGCAGACCGGAACCCCTAAGCTCTATACCCACCCACGATCACTCCTAAAAAGATTCAGTCTTCATCCAGGGCGGAAGCCCCATCCCTGCCTAGAGGATACCCCCTCCAAATGCAAAGGACCCCACCACCATGCAGACTCCCCAATCCACATGCCAGAGACCCTTCCCCCACTGAGAAAAAGGAACCCTGATTTACAATCAGAGAATCCCCATTCACCTGAAATGGATCCCTAATCCGCTACAAAAAAACCTCTTTTTTGCAGGGGGAGAGGACCCCCCTATCCTACAAAGACATGCAACACCTCCACCTCACACAAGAAGGAATCTCCCCCAGCTTTCCACACAGGGACAACCTACTCAGATATGGGGCCCCCATCCCACGTAAAAAAATAAATAAACATTTCCTCACAGAGAAAGCACCCCATTCTCCCCAACTCACAAAAACAGGAGCCCCAAATCCCCATTTAGAAAAGAAGACCCATCGTCTCTTAGAAAGGGGTCCTGGTAGCCACCTGGTTTGGCCTCAGGCATGGCTGCGGATCTCTTCCGGCTCCTCTGACCCAGCCGCCTCTAGCCAGGCCCTAGGGAGGACAGGTGGGACCACAAGGGGAGGGGGGGGGCTTTAAGAAGTCCGGGGACTCCCAGGAGGCTCCGGGAGGCATCGGAAGGCTGCCCCACATTCCTCTTGGTGCTCTAAAGGGCGAGAAATAACAGCTGGACAGAGATAGATGGGTGAACGCCAGGTCCGCGTGGAGGACAGGCCGCGGGGCTCAAGACACCTGGTTCGGAGGGAGGAGGTGCCAGAAGCGGGGACATCAGGGTCTCGGGTAGGAGGGGGCTGGGTGCCCTGAATCGTAAGTCGGGGAGCAGAGGAACCCGGGCCCCGGGTTCTGGTTCTCGGTCCCGAAGAAGGAAAGAGGAGGCGGAGGAGGGCCAGGATGCCTGGGTCCTGGGAGGAGGCAAGGGAGGGGCGGGGGTCCTAGGTGGGTGAGGCCGGGAGTCAGAGGCTGGCGTGGGGGTTGGGGAGAGACATCTAGAAAGCCATTCTTAGTATCTGCAAGTCAGGAGTTTTCGGGAAACCAGAGCCGGGAGGGAGGGTCCGGTTTCCCAGCGTAGGCAGGACAACTGTCGGGGGGAGGAGGTCTCTGTGACCCCAGGGAGCGCACTGGGGCTCTGGGACTCCCGCGTCCCGCTCGGCGGGCGTGGGCAGATCCAAAGGCCTGGGCCCCCGGCCACCTGGGGCTCTGGACTGGTCGCCGCGCCCCTTGGGACCGAGCCCAGCCGGCTGCCGCGACTGTTCCCGGAGCGAGCGAGGCGGGCACCGGACGCAGGGGAAGGGTGGTGTCCCCATGGGGGAGGGAGGGGAGCTGGGAAGGCCCTGGAGGGCTGCCGGGATGTTGGTGCCCTTCCCAGCAGGGGGACCTGCGGCTTTCCGAAGTGGGGTGGCGGGTGGCGGTGGGGCTGGAGGGGAAGGGGCGGGCCCCGGGGCGGGGCGGGACTTGGGGAAACCAGGTGTGTGGGGAGCGCTGGGTGGGCGTGGGAGGGAGGGACAGGGTGTGAGGGACAGGGGTAGGGCGGGCCACCGAAGTGACGCTGCGTGAGGTACCCGGTAGGACGTGAAGCCCCTCCCCTTTTTCTTCCTACGCGTCTCCCACCCCCACCCCCCTTTTTCAAAATCCCCTAAGAGTTGAAAACTTCCCTGCCCCCGGGGAGCGCCAGTCCAACCAGGAGGCAGCCTCCGTGTGACGCCTCGGGCCGCCAGGCAGACTGCCTCGCCTCTCCAGGACCCAGCAGTTTCACAGGGCCTGGTGACAAAGAGGGACTCTAACAACTGGAGCTTCGCGTCCACCACCGCCAGCCCGAGGGCTCAATTCAGAGAGAGGAAGACAGAGACCTAGAAAGTGGGAGATAGAGACCTAGACGGAAGAGAAAGAGAGGAGGAGGTGGGGCAGAACTCTAATTGGCTGGAAGAAAGGGAGACACAAAAATTAAACGGAACCCCCAATGTCTGCACATCTACATCCTCATTTTGTCATTCAAGGCTCAGCCAGGTCTGGCCGTCATTGTTGCTTTGATTTCCTCTTTTATCTCCCCCTTCTCTGTTGCTCTCGCCATGTTTAAGCGACAGCCAGCCCTACTGCATCAGGAGGTTGCAAAGAGACCCAGGGCATCCCTCCACTTTGACTCCTTTTGCTTTATTTTTATTCCACGTTTAGGGTGATGATGATAGCTTTTGTATAAAGTACCTTCTTTGCAGGAAGAAGCCCCAGGGAGGATTAGCACCAACGCTGTGTGCTGGGTATGCCAACATGGACCTTCTCTGGGTCCTTAAGGCTTCTCCTCCTCCCACCCTCCTTGGGGGTGGATTTCAGGAGATGTGTTGAAATTCAAGGGGGCTGACAGGTGGTTTGGGTTTTGTTTTTGTGCTGGGATGGAACCCACGGCCTCATCTGTACTGGGCAAGTGCTCTGCCACAGAGCTGGATCCTCAGACCCTTTTATTATTTTGAGGCAGGATCTCACTAAGTTGCCCAGCCTGGCCCTGAACTTGCAATTCTCCTGCCACAGCCTCCCCAGTAACTTGGATTACAGGTGTGCACCACCCAGACCAGCTTGCGAGGGTTTTTTGAGATCCTTCTCCTTTCCCCCACTTTTCAGAGGGACAAACTGAGACTTCACTTGCTTAGCCCACCCAGCCCTGAGGCTCTGGACCTTTGACTCCCATGGTTCCCAAGTGACAGCTCCCACCCAGGCAGGCTCTGGCTCCTGCTGGGTTTTTGCACAGGGTAGAAACTCAATATTGGGACCAAGGAAGTGCAAGAATAGATGATGCGTTATGAGGAGGCCACTCTCCTGCTGCAACCTCTTCACATCAAAAAGCTGGCTCACTGTCACCAGATCGTCCAAAGATTTAAGCGAAGCCAGAAATCTGGACCATGAAACATCTCCCTATTTCAAAGATTGGCTGTTAATTCAGGTTCTTCCCCTCAAAACGCTTCAGTGAACTAAAGAAAACACCACCAGGGACCTAGTTTGCCTGGGTGGGGGTGGGGATTCACCAGCTTGAGACCTCTCCCTAGAATTGCCATGGGAGGGGGGAGGCCGCCCAACACACAGAAATCCCCGTGGTGGCAGAAGGGTGCTCACAGGGGCCTACAAAGGGCACCCCAGGAAGGTCCAGAGATCTCAGACCTCCTTTGGGACTTCTAAGGGATCCCCTGAGGGGGGGTTGTCTCAGATGTGACTGGAGGATCCCAGATATGACAAGAGGGGCCCAAACTAAGTGCTACTGAACCCCTACCCCAACCCTAGACCCTAACAAGTCATTTCAGACATAACCAAAGGATCACAAAGGGGCTCTAGATGTGATTAGAGAGTTCCAGACTCCCCCCCCCTGCCCCTCAAAAGTGATAGTAGAGTGATTCCATAGAACAGGGGATCTCAAAGATGGCAAAGGGATCTGGGGGTACAGAGTGACAAGAACCATAGATGGACAGAGATCTGGGAAGATAAAGGGTTCCACAGAGGGCTTTAGACGTAACCAGGGGACCTCAGATCTGACAACAGGGATCCAGACTTGAGAAGGGGATCCCAAAGGGACCCCACGCCCCACCCCAGGGTTTAAGGTTTCTGGCAGCGCCCCCTCCTGGTGTGATGATCTGATGAGTTTGAAGGTTCACAGACACAAGGGGCTTCAAAGAGGTGACTGGCCTGGATGGAGGGGACCTCAGACATAAGGGGAATCCCCCAGAAGTTCTTGGAATTCTGGACACACTGCCCATGCCCCACCCCCCTGCCTGCCACACACAATACAGTGGTCCATAGGTCCTGTGACTCAAAACATGACGATCCTGGGGGATCCTGTACATGACAAGAGTCCCAGAAACACACTGGGGAGTCCTAGAGGGGCCCTGGGCAGGGCTTAGGGATTGTGGCAGCCCCCACCCCAAATGTAGGGATCCATGGATCCTATGTCCTAGAGTGCCATGACGCCAAGGTGACCCAGGGACTCTGGAGGGGTCCTGGCTGGGCCATGAGGTCCCCAAGCGGCTCCACAGGCGAGGCTCGGTGCGCTCAGGCCCGGCGGGCGGCCGGCAGCAGCGCGCTGTCGAACTGGTAGGTGAGCTTGCGCTTGACCTTGCGGATCTCGCCGGTCTTGGCGTAGTTGCGGAGCGCGCGCGCCAGCTTCTGGTAAGTCATGCGCTTGCGGTTGCCCTTCTGCTGGCCCCAGCGGCGCGCCAGGAGCTCCTTGTGCTTCGAGGAGAACTGGAAGACGCCGGCGCCCGGCTCCACCCACCACACGCACTCGCGCATGTCCCCGCGTGTCAGCAGCCCCAGCAGGAACTGGTACAGGCGCAGCTTCTTGCGGGCCCCTGCAGCAGCGCGGGACACGCGTCAGCGGACGTCCCTCCGGCCCCGCCCGCTTCCGCCCCAGCCTCTGGGTCTGGGGAGTTGGCCGTTGGGTACACCTGTCTCTGCCCCCTCCTGAAGCCATTAGCTCCGGAATTCCCATCCCTCTGCCCTGCTTCGGCCTTCAGGATTTGTCTGCCCTGTTCCCTGCTCTGCACTCGTTTGGTCTTGTTTATGGTCCTGGGGATGGAACCGGGCGTTGCGTGGTATTGACCGCGCTCCTATGGGACCGACTGGCGGGCGCTCTGGAGTCAGCTTGGACCCCAAGACCGATTCTCCAGCTCCTAGTCTAACCCTAACCTCTCTGCCCCAGGCAAGGTGGGGTCCTGGGAGAGGCCAGGGCATAGGACTCCTGGGCTCCTACAAGCAGCAACGGCCCCACAAAACTGGTGACTTCAAAATGGGGCACGCCCACCTGCCCTGTCTCAGCACTGTGATCGGAGGTGGTGACAACCTCTCTGAGCTGGAGTCTTCTCAGTTGAAAGTGGGCTCCCGTGCGGGCTTATTTTACTGTTATAAATTTCGAGGGAGCTTTTCACTCCAGGTGTCTCACTGGGCACTTTCCAAATGTGAGGTCATTTCATTTTCATCATAACCCACAAGACAGGGATGAGGACAGCGACGCCCAGTTCACAGATGGGAAACAGGCCCACTGGCAAACACAATCCGTGGCCAACTTCCCAGTTGGGTGTGAGATATAGACTGTGGGCAGCAGCAAGGGTTAACAAATTGGGGGTGGGTCCTGGGATTCCTTTTGCGGCTCTTGCCTTGGTAATGATGGTGAAGATATGGACATACTGGGCCCTCACTGTGCCACCCAGTGCTATCCCATCTGCACCTACAAACCCATTTAGTCCTCCCTACAGCCTCGCGGGGGGTACTCACTATCACTCAAAGTCACTCAAAGGCCCCCCTCCCACTCAAAGTCATTCCCTCTGTGCAGACTGGAAACCAAGGCACAGAGAGGTGGAGGTGCTTGCCCAAGGTCACACAGCCAGCAGGTGGCATGGATCTGGAACCTACTCTCAGAGGTGCAGAATACAGTAGGAGAAGCCATGATTCCTTCAGACCCTCCCTCTGTCTCTATTGGGCATTTCCTCCACCTCCCCACTCCCACGTACCTGCCTCGGATCCCCTTCCTTCAGGGCCAGTCATGAGGACCTCGTCCGACTCGCTGTCTGAGACTTCAAGGGCAGGACTGTCCAGCAGCAGGTCTTCCTCCTCTGACAGCACTGGGCTGGGGTACGGGGCACACACCAGGGGGCCCAGAGTCTGTGGAAGGCCAGTGTCACCTGCATATCCAGGGACCCTCTCTCCCTCCCTCTCCCTTTTCTGTGGCTCTCTTTGCTCCGTCTCCATTTTATTTTTAGTTTGGATGCTGGCCTTGGATCATATCTCCATGTCCAGGCCAGGGGACACCTGAGCTGCCTCCATTAAAGCCTGGCCAGCACACAGGGCCAGTCTGGGCAGCCCCTTGGTGCACTGGAACAGGGACAGCTCTTGCCCTGGGGCACTGAAGGAACAAGAAGGTTGCTGTATGCCCAGGTCTGGCTGAGCACAGTGCCTGGCCCTTCGGACACCTGCACCAGATGATGGCTTTGGTTTTCATTGTCCCCTGCCCCTCACCTGGCTGGTGAAGTCCTCGCTGGGGTATGCTGGGAGGCTGGGCCCAGAGGCCTCCAGGCTGGGAGCTGGGTCCAGATTCCCTGCAGGACTGTAGGCTGAGGGTCCATAGCAGAGCTGGGTAGCTGAGGGATGACCATAGGTGGCCATTGCTGGGTCAAAGCCTTCATAGGAGGTGGCTGGGACAGGGGGGGCCTCGGCCCAGCCCCACAGAGAGTCTGGGAGAAAGCACTGAGTCAGAAGCCAGGAGGTCTGAGGAGGCCCCCTCCCACTCAGTGTCCCCAGCACAGAGGGACTATTGTGGGCTGTGCAAATCTCTGACCCCAGGATTTGCATGGGGGAGTGATGTGGGGGAGAGGAAGGGGAGGCGGTCTGGAAGCCTGGGCCACCCTTCTACCATGCCACATGAGACCTCCCTTGAGCCTCAGCTTCCCCATCTGTGAAATGGGCCCAAGGCCCAGGTGGGGAGGGGTCTGGGCCAGCGCCACTCACCAGAAGCCCCCTCTGAGTCGGGGTAGCTGGAGTGCTTGCAGCTGTCCAGGTCGTAGAAGACGCCATCTGGGTACTGCTGGGGTTGGGGGGAGAGGATCAACCCGGGGTTCAGGGAGCCCCATCTCCACCGTGGACCCCAGGAGAGACTGACAGAGCCAGAGGAAGAGGAGAGGCTGGTGAGGGGAGAGGCTGGTGAGGGCAGAGACTGATAGGCAGAGAGACTCAGAGACCAGGTACCGCAGTCAGGCAGGGAGAGGCAGGAGCGGAGACAGGCACACTGTGAGCAGGACACACAGCAGTCGCCCCCAGCACAGTTGTGGCTCCTGAGGACCTGGCAGACGGTCTACGTGCAGTCGGTATGACAGGGTGTTGAGGAGGTGTGGCAGAGGTGAGGGCTCCACACTTCCTTAAAACACCTCTGTGTTGCTCTGGGTTGTTCCAAGAGTCATGTGTTGCATGAGCCTCAGAAATCTAGTGGACACTAAAGCTAGCATCAATATCCACCATCCCTGTGACCCTGCAGCCCCCGTAAGCCCAGGACAGCTGAAAACCTTGCCCACAGAAGGGCCTTGGTCAGGAATAATCAGAGCAGTTTTGTTAAGAGTCCCAGACCGGAAGCAGGGTCCCCAGCAGGATGAATGAACAAGCTGTGGCACAGTTGGCTAGAGTACTATACAGCAAGGAAAAAGAACAGCCACATTTAATGTAGAGGGAAGAGAGTCAAGTCCCCAACAGGACCTGCTGCATGAGTCATTTCATATAAAGTTCAAAAACAGGCAAAACAAGGCTGGGGATGTGGCTCAAGCGGTAGTGCGCTCGCCTGGCATGCGTGCGGCCCGGGTTTGATCCTCAGCACCACATACAAACAAAAATGTTGTGTCCACCGAAAACTAAAAAAAAATAAATATTAAAAAAATTCTCTCTCTCTCTCTCTTTAAAAAAAAAAAACAACAGGCAAAACAATCGATGATGCCAGGCAGGTATTTCCTGGGAAGGGACATGAGGGAATGCTCTATTCTGGAATAATGGGAATGTTCTGGATCTGCATCTGGTCAATGGTGGCAAGGGTGTGACAATGTGAAAACTCATGGACATACACAAACGTGGACAGTCAGCTGATGTGTAACTTATATTCAATTGGGGAAAAAAAAAAAAACAAAAAAAACCTCGAGGCTGGGAAGTGATCCAGAAGTAGTTTTCTTTCAACCACATCAGGAAGGTTTTCTCTCTTGGACTGAATTGTGGCTCCTGGGAAGTTGGGTATAGTATTTTCTGTGTTTGAAGAATTATGGAATAAAGGAAAAAAGTTTAAAAGCCAGGTGTGGTGGTGTACATCTATAATCCCAGCTACTTTGGAGGCTGAGGCAGGAAGACTTCTAGTTCAGGGCCAGCCTCAGCAACTTAGGCAGACCCCATCTCAAAATCAAAATTAAAAAGGACTGCTGGGCACAGTGGCCCCCACCTGTAATCCCAGTGACTCAGGAGGCTGAGGCAGGAGGATCATGAGTTCAAAGCCAGCCTCAGCAAAAGCAAGGCACTAAGCAGCTCAGTGAGACCCTGTCTCTAAATAAAATACAAAATAGGGCTGGGGATGTGGCCGAGTGCCCCCGGGGTTCAATCCCCAGTACCCTCTACCCCCAAAAAAGGACTGAGGCTCAGTGATAGAGCACCATGGGTTCAATCTCCAGTACTAGGAGTAGGGAGTCAGGAAGAGGAATGAATACACTTGCCAAGTATGGGACAGACAGACACTCAAGTCCCAGGGTGGTCTCAGAGCTTGCAAAAGGGATAGAGAAATCAGAAATAGGTCTGGGATGGGAACAGGGTGGGAGGATAACAAGCAGGAGTTCAGAAAGACAAAGAGAGAAGAAGGCACTGAAGGGGAAACTGAGGCAGAGGTGACCTGAGGGGCTCATGGAGGGCCATAGGCCCCACCCCAGGGGACCCAACTTACCAGACAGCTGAAGTGTGGCCCATCGAGCCTGGCAGGGGAGAGACACAGGGGCATGTCAGAGCCACCCTCAGCCACCTGAGTCTCCAAGTGGTTGGGGGCTGATGGGGGAGGTGGCAGCAGCTGTGCCACTGCAGCTCTGAAGTCTGCTGGGTGTCCCTGGGTGAGACCAGCCCCGCCACATTCACCCCCCACTCCCCCACCAGGACAGGAAGTGGGGGGGCCAGGCAAATGTCCCCCCCTCCCCAGAATTTGCATAGACAAAAGCTGCAGGGGGGCAGGGAAAGTGAAGAAGAGAAAGTCCCCGAGAGGAGGTTGGGCACCAGCAGGTGGGGGGTGGCCAGGGCCCTTAGTGGGCAAGTCTGGCAAATGGGTCCGACTTGGACCAGGGAGAAATGTCTGGGCAGAGGGAGAGAGAGACAGGGAACCAGATGAGGGGGAGTGGGAAGAGGAGGAAGGCATGGAAAGAGACTCCTGCACAGGGACAAGATATTTCTTGGCCCCAGGAATGTAGATAGGGTGGTGGGGACCGACCAAAGGAGAGAAGCAGGGAGACAGTACTGAAGGGAGGAAGCAAGAGGCGGAGAGCAGAGCCCGAGGAACAGAACAGACATGGCAGGGAGGCCCGGAGACAGATACAGGGCCACCTGGGAGAGGACATGGCCCGAGAGGAGAGCAGCAAGTGTTCCCAGATGCCAGTTCTGGGGACCTGGAGAAGCAGGCTTGGGAAGAAGGGAGGGAAGTCTGTGGTGAAAGAATCAGGGCAAAGGCAGCGTGGACCCGGGTTCCATCCACCTGCTCCTGGGTGGGGCAGGCGTCCATGAGGATGGGGCCTGGAGGAGGGGCCCAGGGGGTGGCGCAGGATGGGGGTCCCAATGTGGGCTTAGGGGGACCCACTTACTGTGCAGCCTCCAGGGCGAGCATGTTGGTGCCGGGCAGCTGGACTTGCTGTGGGCGGCAGCTGCCACCCCTCTATATACCTTGGCCCAGCCCCCAGGGGAGGGGCGGAGCACTAGGCACGCCCCAAAAATCCCCTTGGGGAGGGGTCAGGGGAAGGGGCTGGATTGCACAATGCATTTGGTCATGTGGTGGGAAGGGCAGACCCACAGGCCGTCTGGATTTGGGGATCCCCATTTTTGGGGGCTGGCTCTGGGTGGTAGAGATGGGATAACTGGATTTGGTGGGGTGATGGAAAAAGGAACAGATGTGGCTGTGGTCAGTGAGGAGAGATCAGGACAGGGGGCTGTGGACCGTGGAGTCAAATCTCAGAAGCAGAGTGCCAGGGGCCAGCCACCACAGGATAGGGTGACAAGAGGCAGCTGGAGCAGGACAGCACAAGCACCAGGGGCTGTGGAGACAGCTCTGTGGGCACAAGGGGACCTCACAGACACTGCCTGGGGGGACTCAAGCTGGAACCGACCATCAGGACCCCACAGTGGAAACATCTGTGGGTGTGACATGGCAGGGGTGTCCCCTTGGTGGAGCCAGGGAGTGGAACCCTCTTGTCAGGGGCTGCCCCAGGGACCAGAGGAAACAGGTCAGCACCTGGCAGGAGGGGTGGCCACCCAGCCCCCAGGGAGGGGCAGGCTGGGGCCAGACACCTGGCCCCTGAGCAGAGAGCCTGGCAGAGATGCCCACCCAGAGGCGGAGGGGCAACGGAGGCAGGCGGGGCCCCACAGGCCTGGCAGTGGGAAGGAGTGGACCCTCAGGGTCTCACCTGTGGGAGAGGAGACCCAACTGGGGCCTCCAGGGTCCCAGGGAGCCAGGGCTCATGAAATTGGACCTCGTTCCCCCAGAGACCACAAAGAACCACATAGGAAAAGGCCTTAATTTTATTAACGCCCCGCGGGGGGCCTCCAGGTCACCAGACCTCAGGGCCAGGGGGGCCAAAGCGCCGCAGCAGCTGCTCCTGATCCTCCAAGTCCTTCCGCACCTTCTTGCGCATGTAGAAGATGGGGCAGTCCCGGCTGCGGAGGTGGGTGCGGTCAGCTGGGTGGCCCGGCCAGAACCCAGCCCAGAACCACCCCAGGGCTGTTCCCAGGACTTTGGCCGCCGCCTGCTGCCCCCTTCCTCTGGGGGCTGTTTGCTCAGTGGCATGGGGGGAGCCGATAACAGCGGGTGCCTGGCAAGGCTTGGGTGGCTGTATATCACCTGTCACCTGGCGTGGGAACCCACCCCGCCCATTTGTTCCCTGGGGAAAGCCCAGCCCCACCCTGGGGGAGGGAGGTGGATTGGGAAGATGGCCATTTCCAGGGGCCAGCACCAGGACCCTGTCCCACTAAGGCCCAGAGGCGATGCAGTGACAGGGAGTCAGGAGTTTGGTCCCTGTGCCACAGGCTGGGAGCAGAGGGCCGAGTGCACACCTGGTGCAGATGACGTCCTCGTGCAGGCTGCCCTGACAGCGCTGGCACTGGGTCCAGAGGCGGGAGAAGCGCTCCTCCAGAGCGTTCAGGTGGGACACCTGGGGATGGCAGGGGCTGAGCAGGGCAGCCCAGCCCCTCTGCTCCCACCCCCAGGCTCTGTCCCCTACCTCTTTCTGATACAGCTCTGACTCCCTGGATTGGCAGAATTTGCACACGGCTCCTGGTGGGGGGGTTGGGTCAGCACAGGGGTGCTGGCACTGAGCCAGGGCCTAGGCCACCCCATTCCTGTCCCTTCCCCACCCGCTGCCCATCCCGGTTTGTGAAAGTCCCCGGAGGCTGGAGAACAACGGAAGGAGTGTGTGGGGAAAACTCCCCTGGGGAACTCCCAGGGTGCGGGTGAGGACCCTCGGGTGGGGGTGCAGGCAGAGGGGAGCCCCCGACTCAGGGCCAAGGTGTGTTGACCACCTTGCATCAGTGACAGGGGCTGGGGTCTCACCCTGGTGGTTGAGCACCGTGCGGCAGCCGATGCAGCAGCTGCGGCGCTGGGCGAAGGCCAGGAGCCCACCCACCTTGCCCGTGAGCACCGTCTTGCAGCGCGTGTGGTCACCCCCTGTGGGAGGGGAGGTCGTGAGGCGAGGTCAGGCAGCTGTGCCCGTTGGTGCCTTCCACTTCCCAAGCCCCTGGCTCTTACGCAGTAGCACGGCCTCTGCGCGGCCCTCGCCCAGGATGGGCTCAAAGATGCGCAGGAGGGGCTTGGCCAGCTGCTGCTCCAGGTAGTACTGCGTGTCGATGGGCAGGCTGTGCTCCAGCACGAAGAGGGGGTCCTGCGGGAGGCCACATGGCAGCGTGTGGGCCCCTGAGGGCTCATCTGGTCAGGGGGCAGTGGCGAGGGGCACCACCCTGGAGGCGTAGCGAGGCTGAGCAGGACTGGAATGGGGTCAGAAGTCACAGAAGAGGCCTGCTCTGTGAACCCATGCTGGAAGCCACAGGTGGGGCCCCCTGGTCACCAAGGAAGTGCCAGAGTTCAGGGGAGGAGGCAAAGCTGTGGAAGGGGTCACAGGAGCCAGGGGCCATGGGCTGAAAGCTGGGTCAGCACACTTCTTTGTGGGAAGTGGGTGGTGACGAATTAAGGGAGTCAGGGCTGAGCAGAACCAGGGAGACAGAAACCACGGAGGAGCCAGCCAGGAGCGCAGGGGACCCCTTTCTGCAGGAGGCAGGGGAGGGGCAGGATGACCAGGCACACTGCAGCGCCTGAGACACTGGGAGCAAAGCCTCCTGGAACTGTGTCCCAGGGGCGTATGGGGGTGTTCTCAGGGCCCATGGGGCCCGCCCATCTTGGAAAGCAGAAGTGAGAGCCGCAGAACCGGGAGGCAGCAGGCAGCCCAGGTGGGCCTGACCTCGGACTTCATGTAGGCAGCCACGCCCTTGGCAGCTCCGATGATCACGTAGGGGACACGGTCGCCCAGGCTGGGTGCACTCCCGGGGTCGCGCTTCCTCATCCTGTGGGGAGACCAAGGTGGCGGGCGGGTGAGGGTGGGGGGTGTGCAGGAAGTGGTGGGCCCAGCTGGCAGGAGGGGCTATTTCTGGACGCCCAGCCACCCAGCAGACCTCTCAGCCAGCTCCACGTGGGCCTGCTTGCCAGCGTAGTCGGCTGCGGCGCGGGTCAGCTCCTTGGTGATGACCAACTGGGAGATGTCGATGCGGTTACACAGCAGGTCTGAGATGACGTCCTTCGCGTGGGCCACAGCGCCCTCGGGGTCTCTGGGGGTAGGGTGGACCAGACAGGCAGGTGTCACCAGTGGCAGATTCAGACTGGAGCCAGTGAAGGCACCAGGATGGGCTCTGTGGGCTGAGACTCAGGGCAGGGAGGGGCCAGACCAGAGACCACGAGTGGCAAGGCAGGTGTCACTCAGCCGTGCAAGCCTGTGCACCAGAGGAGAGCTGAGCCCGACACTCAGGTTCCCAGGGGACAGGGAGCTGGAACCTTGGGTCTAAGGGAGGAGGCTGGGGTCTGGGTAGTCCACATACCTGTCCACAAGCAAGCGGCGCAATGAGGCAGTGACCAGGTTGGCCACGAGGGGGCAGTTGTCCCTGCGCACAGCCTCCAGGCCCTTGCAGTCCATGCGGTCATGGGCATCTGGGCGGGAAGAGAAGAGCAGGCCAGCATAGCGCTTCTTGCTGATAAGCAGGTAGGGGAAGTAGACCTGGGAGAGACCCATGGCAGAGACCCCTGAGACTGGGGACGCCCACAGTTCTGAGGCTCCTCCCAGACAAAGGACAGGCAGGGCCTGAGGCACAGGCTCCAGGAAGCCAGAGCCCGATGCGGTGGAGCCCAGGGTTGATTCTGAGCACCCTCAACATCCCAGAAACCCCCAATGTGAAACAGTGGGATAGGTCGAGAGGTGGCCCCTGAAACATGGAATCAAAGCAGGGGTACAACAAGGTGTCCCCCCAAAGGGAGAAGAGACGAAGTCCAGATGACAGAGTCCCTCTCAACAAGAAGCTCTGTATTAGTCAGTGTTTGAGCCGTGGGGGAAAGGACAGTGTGAGGACTCCAAGTCACACAGTAGGTGCACCCTGGAGCTGGGGACACCAGACAGTGGTCCAGACACAGGTGGACCTCCCAAGGACCACCACTATATCTGACAGATACTGGGAATCCCCCCAATCAGGTACACTGTGACAAGATTTTTTTTTTTTTTTTTTTTTGTAGTAATTGGGATGGAACCCAGGGCCTTACTTGCATGCCAGGCAGACACCCTACTGCCAAGCCACACCCCTAGCCCATGAACAGGTTTTCAACACACGAATGCTATATTGTATAACAAAGGCCCAGGCCTGGCAGTTCCAAAGCTCAGACCACATTCAGGAGAAACCAGGTAGCAAAGCACTCGATACTGGGTTTATGGTATGTGGAACAGTCTGATGAGGTTCCCCAAGACAAGAGGCCCGAGCAGCACCAGGGCACACCAAGCTGTGCACTCTTAGCTTTGTAGGCACCCTGAGAATCAGAGATGCTGAGCCTGGCAAAACCCACTGAGTGGAGTGCAGGGGGTTCCATGTACCTTCTCAAACTCGAGCCGGATGGGTGGTGGGAAGTGACCGGATACCCAGTTTGCAGCCTCCCGTCCCAGGGCCATCGCCTCAGCCACAGAGGAGACACCAAACCGGCACATGACTGAGTCAGTGTCACCATACACCACCTGGGAAAAGGTGAGAGGGAGGATGCTTTTTGCCAACCAGGGGCCGGGCCCAGCTCCCCCAAAGCCCACCTGCCCCCAGGTGTGGGTGGGCAGGCCAGTTCCTGACCTTGGCATCTGAACTGTAACCATTCTCCACCGTGTACTTGGACTCAACCAGTTGCTTGGTTTTCTCAATCATCTGACGCCCAAATCCAGTGACACTCTGTGGGGTACAGAACCAGGCAGGTGAAGGCCCAGAAGCTACATGCAGTGGACACCGGTTGGAAAGGGATCCTGCCTCTGCCATTTCCCAGTGGCGTGGGCTTGGGTGAGCCCCTCTGATTCCCTGAGCCTTGGTTTCCAAATCTGCAACCTGGGTTACTACAGTGTCCCTCAACAATATGCTAGAAATACTTGGGCTCCCCAGTTCAGAGTTCTGGGCATGGACAGGAACTGACTATGCCCAAGGACAGACAGAAAGGCTGGAATCTGAAGAGGTTACAACTCAGTGCTTCTCTGACACTGATACTGCCAGTCACCTCCTGAAAGCCAGCAGTGCCACCCCCCTGTGCATGCTATCAGGGCACCCCAAGCTATGCATTCTTAGCTTTGTAGGCACCTTGAGAATCAGAGACGCTGAGCTTGGCAAAACCCCCCGTTGGCATCTCACATCAGGCAACGACCTTTCTACCTGTCTTATTTTACAGACCCCTGAAACTGGACCAAGGAGAGAGGATTTTTTTGTTTTTGTTTGTATGGATCCAATCAGATAATTTTTTCCTCCCAAGTAGCTTACAGGTGTGTACCAATGTGCTGACAACCTGCATCTTTTTTAAAATATCTACTTTTACTACTTATTTTAATATTTCTCATTTTAGTATTTATTGTATTTTAATATTTATTATAAATATATTTTTTTAATTTTTAGGTGGTGCTGAGGATCGAACCCAGGGCCTTGCACATGCTAGGTAAATGCTCTACTATTGAGCCACAACCCCAGCCTTGCATCTTTTAATTAGAGCACTTAATCCATTTATACTTAGTGTAATTACTTATGTATTTATACTTAAAGCTGCAATTATACTATTTGCCTGTTACTAGTTCTATCTGCTCCATGTTCCTTTTTCCCCCCTCTTTTTTGGGGGTGACTTACTACTTTATTGTTATTCTATCCCCTGCCCTTATGTGCTTGAGAAAAAAGAGTCCAGGGCTGGGGCTAGGGCTCGGCAGTAGTGCACTTGCCTGGCATGTATGAGGCACTGGGTTTGATTCTCAGCACCACATATAAATAAATAAAGGTCTATCAACAACTAAAAAACAAAAAGCCAAAAGAGAGTGAAGGAGGTGAGAGAAAAGACAGAGACAGGGTCAGTGACAGGCAGCTGAGGAAGGCTGGTGTCCTCCTGTCCTCACCTCTGCTTTGGGATGCAGCTTGTTGTCCCAACACTCACCCTTTCCCACCAGGGAGGCACCTGGGGATTGAAAGGCCAAAGAGGGAGCAGGGGTGGCACAGAGTAAGGGGGTCACGGACCAAGGGAAGGTCTTGCTCTGGCTTGGCCCTGGGAGAGGACCTCCAAGTACTTGGATTGTCCTGCCTGTTAAGAGTGGCTTTGTTCACATGAGATCTTCAGCCACACCAGGCAGTTCATAAAACAAGGCCTTGGTCAGGGTCTTGGGCCACACAGTGTGACTTCAGGGTAGGAAAATCTGGAGACTGAACAATAACTAAGGTCAGTCACAGAGGTGGCTTCAGCCACCCTTTTACAGTGACCCCTGTAAAACTCCTGGACACCAAGGCTCTGGTGAACCTCCCTGGTTGAATGCTCCATGAGTTGTCACATGCCACTGCTGGGAGGACAGCTATGCTCCATGCTTGGTCCCTCCCAGGTCCTATCCCACAAACCACCTTCCCTAGCTGGTTTTACAATGTAGCCTTTTGCTATATTAAATCACAACCCTAAGTAAACAACCATTCTGAGTGGGAGTACTTCCAACCAGTCAGTGAATCTTCCAGCCAGTAGTCTTGGGGGCCCCAGAACTGCAGATGGGCATCAGTGTGCTCAGGCTCCCCGACCTGGGTTCCTCTGGCCAGCATTCCCACCAAGCCTTCCGTTCAACCCTATGAAGCCTCACGGGCTGCCAGGGACAGAGGGAGGTCTTCATGGCCAGAGACAACCAAGAGAGGAAAACGTCATCCAGAATGTGCTACAGTCCCCAAAGCCCAGGGCGGGCTGAATAGGAGGTCCCTTCTGAGGCTCTCTTGGGCACAGACTCCAGCTTGGCAGACTCAGGCCCTCTGAGGTGTCTCTGAGAATGTTCTGTCCGAGCAGCAGCGCTGCCTTGGGTCAGCAGCCAGGCTGGGCTGCTGAGGGAGATGGGGCTTCTCAGCCGTGATCCTGCTCAGAGCTGGCGTTGGTTAAGCCTTATCACTAGGGTCTTCACAGTCAGAGCAGAGGAAGACCTGTGCCTGGTCTGACTGTGACTGAGGTCAAGTGGCCCCGCTGAGGACACAGCAAATCCAGGCCGGCTATGCTGCTGCGTATCCCCCAGCCTTCCCCCAGTCCCTGAGCAGACATGGCCCTGTCCCCCCATCAGGAAAGCAATCTGCCCTACTCCCTCTCCCCCTTGCAGAGACCCGGGAAGTGGGCTGGCGGGTAGACTGTGGGGGCAGTGGGTTCTGTCAGGTGATCCTGTGGCACCTGGAGAAAATGGGCAAAGCTGCTTCCCTCCCTCAGGTCACCTGGCTTCCAGCTGGGCATCCTGAGTGCCCCTGCCTGGCCTCACATCCCTCTGCAGAGCCCTCAGCACCACTGCATCCTAAACATTTCATCGTGGTCCACGTCCCTACTAGGCTCAGTGAACTGCATAGAACAGGAGTCCTCATGTTTTGCTACTGTCCTTCAAGGCACAGAGCAGAGCCCAGCTCCCAGCACATGCTCGACAGGAACCAGCTGCTCAAGCCACACTGGTCCCCTCTCCAAAGGCCAGCAGATGGGGCAAGTAGGCCCTGACCTCCCAGTCAGCTCCTACCCACAGAGCTCTGCTTTCCCTCTGCAGCGTCCACCTGCCACCCGCTCCTGTCTGCCAGGGGCCTACAGGCTCACCTGTGAGATCTCCAAGCATGGTAGCTTGCCCACCTGGGCACCGGTGAAGCCATATACGGAGTTGGCGCTCACCTTCAGCGCCAGCTGCCGCCCATCAAGGACCTGCCGCCGCAGGGGATCTGTCTCCTGGGCCAACTCTGCCTTGGCCCTAGGATGGGACAGGGTTGAAGGCTATTCAGGTAGTGCCCCAGGTCTCGGGGGGAGACCAGAGGCCTAGTGAGGGCCCCAGGCCTGCACACTGTTCAGGGTGTCTTTCTTATGGGGGTGCCATGTACTGCAGAGGAGCCTGACCCACAGGCAAAGGGTCCTGCCTGGAGATGGTGCATGCACAGCCACAGGTGACTGCAGACAGGCCATCCTGTGGGGAGGGGTGAGGTAGTGAGGAGCAGGGATTGCTGAACTCCCCTTGCAAGTCTGAACTCTGAACAAGGGTGGGAGGGGGCTAGGGAGACCACCTCTTCCGGGCACTGAGCAGGTTCTCCAGGATCTGAGGCAACAGCCCCTTGCGCACAGATGTCTTCACAAACTCGTCCCCGGTGGGTGTCCTGATGAACTGGTCTGCGGTCAGGCTGGTGGGAAGACAGTGAGCTTCTTCAGGATGTGAGTGCCTCAGGCTCTCAAGTTCCACCAGCTCTTGTGGTTCCCTTTCCCTGTCCACAACTACCGGGCCTGCCTGTCTCCCCCACAGACTGACCCCTAAGGCAGGGCCCAGGCTACCTGGGCAGATACGTGCTGAATGTGGGGCCATACCCCAGTTTCTGGGCAGCCCCGGGCCGCAGAAGCGTGGTGTAGCACAGGTTGTGGGCCATCATAATGGACGGGTACAGTGAGGAGAAGTCCAGCGTAGCGATGGGAACATCGTAGTACCTGAGTGGCCACAGGAGAGGTCAGGGCCAGGAGCCACCATTTCGTGCCCTCCCCTGGTCTTGGGGCCTCACCCTTTGAGGGGCTCGATGACTGTGGCTCCCGTGTAGTCCTCGCCGCCCTCCGTTTTCACCACGGGCATCAGCAGCCCCTCACGCATGGCCTGGGGAGAGACTGGGTGAGTGACCACCATGGGTGCATCTGGCAGGGCCCCTCAGCAGAGACGGGTGCAGATGGGCCTGCCCTAAGCCACTGACCTGCCGCAGCAGCTGGGACACGACCTTGACCTGCTGGCCACGGCTAAGCAGGTAACTGAGGGGCACACCGGTGACTCTTGCCATCTCCACAGTGTTCACCAGCACCATGAGCCGCTCGAGCAGCCGCAGAGGCAGGAAGGCGTCCTTGAGGCAGTAGACGGCCAGGCGGCGGCGGGTCTGGTCATTCCCGTTCTGGGGTCAGCACCACGGGGTCGGGTCAGGGGCAGTGTGGCAGATGGAGCCAGGGGAGGACAGTGCATGGTGGCTGGGGTGGTGGGGTGGAGTGAGGGGGTGTGGGGAGTCACAGGATCTGAGGGAGGGGCAGCCTGAGGAGCTGGCATGAACGAGATCAGGGCAGGAGTGAGCAGACCAAAGGTTCCAATGACGCAGATCATGGGAGTGGGAAAGATCAGGGGAAGGTGAGTGGCAGGCCGAGGCCAGAGTGGATGGGCAAAATCAGAGGTTGGGCCAGAAGTCCAGGTGAGACCAGAAGTCAGTGGGGTGGACGAGGCCAGGGCAGGCCTGGTGGAGGGTGGAGTGGGACGGGCACCTGTAGGTCGGTGATGATGCTGTGCTGCACATCCTCCTTCTGCTCACCCAGGAAGTGGAAGCTCACGGCATTGAGTGTGTAAGAGCGGAGCTTATACTCCCGAAGCAGCACCTGGGGTGGGCAAGCACGGCTTGGGCGCAGGTCTGGGCAGTGGTGTCCTGAGCCTAGAACCTGCCTAGCCAGGCCATACCTGCAGCATGTCCATCTGCACACGGCCCACCATGCTGACCACCTTGCTCTCTCGCCGGCCCATCTGCTTTGACTGGAATGATGAGTCCCGGATGTTGGAGCGGAGTCCAGCCACACGGCCCAGGAAAGGGAAGGCCTGCACCTGTAAGGGTGGATGACGGCCACACAGCCAGGATGACATCCCAGTGGGGGGCAGGTTAGCCCCTGCCCAGGGCCCAGGCCCTACCAGGCACAGCAGATGGAGACTAGCCACAACCCTACACGTGATGTGAGGTGCTGGGAGCAGGGGCAGCTCTTGGTGCACAGACTCAAGGGCTGGGGGGATTGAAGGTGGGAAGGACACAGGGATGGGGGAGCTGTGGCTGGACTGACATAGACAGCAGGGTCCTGATGGGCTATGGGCAGGGAGCTGCCCAGGGCTGCACCAGCTGGGGAGAAGGGATCTCTGGGGGATGCTGACTGCTCTGGGGGAGTGGGCAGGGCCTGGGGGCAGCCAGCAGGGGGCAAGGCAGGAGGCGCCTGGAGAGCCCAGCTGGAGAGGTGGAATGAGCAGGGATGGAAAGGGGTCCTCTCAAGCTGCTGGGGCACACATGGAGAAGACTGAGGCACTGAGGGAGCACGGAGAGCAGCGGCCTGGCTGCCAAGGCCAGGGTCAGGGCTAGACTTGCTGGTGTGGCTGGGGGCCCCTGAGTCTGTTCTGTTGTGTTTTCATTACCAATTGGCCAAACATACAGGAAAATTAAAAAGTAACACATTACACCTCATTAAAGTTTAGTTATGTCCCCCTAAAAGCCCTAACCTCCAGTGCTTCAGAACATGATCTCACTTGGAAACACAAATCTGCAAATGGATTAAGATGAGGTCCTCAGAGGGGACCTTAATCCAATATGACCATGTCCTTTGAAAAGGGCAAATGTACACCCAGAGACACACAGAGGAAGGGCGATGTGCAGACCCAGGGAGGAGCAGGCCCCCGCCCCACTTCACGCCTTGGTCTTCAAGCTCTGGAACTTCAGGGAGATCCCTTTCGGTGGCTTCGAGCCACCCAGCCTAAGAGTCTTCATCCCAGCAGCTAGGACACAGGGCTCTCACACCGCATCTACAGCCCCATCTGACTCAACAGTATCTGGTCTTGCATGGACTTGGTATGCTCCCCCTTTCCTTCCTATTATTCTTTTGCTCCCCTTATTCTTTTCCTCCTTCCCTGTTAACATGTTTGGCTCCTGAGCCCCTGCCTGCCGCTCTCTGCAGCTCTGAACAGCAGCCACTTCCTTGCTTATCTTCAACGCTCGCCTTGCCTTGGCCTGAAGCCACAGTAGCCTCTTTGAGCAGGGCAGGGCCAGGCCCAGTGTGTCCTGAATCACTGGGGATGACAGGCTGCAGGTATACAGGGCAAGGCCCTCACCTTGAGGGTTTGGGCCCGGGAGATGAGGTAGGGGAGGTCGAAGTTCTGAATGTTGTAGCCGGTGATTACATCGGGGTCCACGGCACGGACAAATGCAGACCAGGCCTGGAGCAGAAGCACAAGGGGTAAGCTTCAAATGCCACTGCTCCCGGAATATTTCAGAAGACCCCCGGCACTTCTGAAAACATCAAAGAACCCAGAGGAGAAGTATTTAGGCCAAGCATGCAAACTTCAGAACATAGCTGTCTCCATGCCCAGGGGCTTATCCACCACAGCCTGGGATGGGGGTGCTGAGAAAGTATCAGGGCACAAAATGAGAGCCACCTGGAGAAGCTCCTCTTCCTGCTCGTAGCTCTGCACCTTGGCACCCAGGATAGGAGCACAGGGCCGCAGGGTGAGCGCCAGACGCAGGAAGGGCTCTGGCTCACCCCAGCGCAGGCCCAGAGAGCAAATCTGGATCACGGGGTCCCGCTCAGGCTCAGGGAAGATGCCTGAGGAAAGACGAAAGGGAAGAGGGGATGCAGGGGACCTGACTCCTGCCTCTCCTCCCAACACAAAGAGGGTGCTGCACCTCCACATTTCCCCCAGAACACCCACACCTCTGTCCCCATGGCCTGCAAGGTGCTGGCAGCTGGAAGTTTGCTGGGGCCCCTTTTGTCCCCCTTGCTGCTGGCAGCTGGTTCATGCACTTCCTCCGCCCCTGCTCACTCCATGCCAACCACACTGGCTGGCAAAGTCCTGCTCCACCCTCCACCAGTCAGAGCTTGGCACACCACTGACATCCAGATGGGTGAGGAGCCAAGCCCTGGGGACAGACCTTTGCGACCAGCACACTCAATGTCAAAGCTGAGCACACGCAGGGGTGCAATGCGCTGCCATGGCCCTTCTGGGGGGTGACTGACCACATCTGACCACAGCACATCTGCCTCCAGCTGACACAGTGTAACCTGTGGGGTGGGGAATGTCAGTGGCAGCAGGGTCCTGGCTTCCTCTCCCCCGGGGAGCCACGTACCTTCTCCTCTGGCCTCAGGACGTATTTCCCAGCTGGGAGTTCCAGCCAGTTGCAGCCAACGATGTCCGCATCCACCATGAACCTAGAGGGGATGGAGGGTCAGTGGGCAGAGGCTGGCTGAGGACGTGTGGGAGTGAGACTGGGGGCAGAGGGAAGAGGGAGACAGGAGCATTACCGGATCTCAAAGTCCACGTTGGCCTCATAGGGCACAAAGCTGGGGGTGCCGAGGCCTGCCACCCGGATGCCCTGTTCCAGAAGGCGACGGGCAGGAGCCACAAGGCGGGGCAGCGCCAAGGTGATGCGCAGGAATGGAGATGGGCCGTGGCCATGGTACCCGAACATGCCTGGGGAAAGAGGAGGCTGGGACCAATCCCTGGCCCCAATGCCCCCTGGTCCCCAGGTGACACTCACTTTCTCGAGAACACAGCTCCACGGCCAGCACGGCAGGCCCTGTGAGCTCCTTGCCCCCGCGCTGGTCCCGGCTGATGGCTGCATTCAGCTCCTTCTGTAGGTCGCCCAGGTGCTCGGCTCCAAAACCTGGTGTGGGGAGTCCAGTCAGAGGGGCCTCAAGACCAGGAGTGGAGACTCCCGGGTCAGGGGCCACTCACCAGGGGGTGCTGGGGTGTAGAAGTAGGGTGCGAAGCCGTGGACATGGCAGCAGACAGAGAAGCCCTCATCCGTGACCCCAAAGGCGCGGAGCACTGGCACAGTACCACGGGGCGGCACAGGCCGCCCTGGCAGGGGACGCGCTGGGCCTGGGGGTCACAGGGTAGGGAGGGTCCCTCAGGTTCCTCAAAGGTCTCTTCCCCAGATCCACACCCACATCCCGTGTGCCCCACACACCTGCTCTCCTGCCCACTCGCCCTTGGCAGCCCCCGCCCCATTCTCTGTCAATGTTGGAAGAGGTCCCGCCTTGGAACCACGGCACAGAGGACATTGCTCGTAAAGAGCAAAACTGACCACTGGGGCCTAGGTGCAATGTCATGAGCACTAACGCATGGGTGGACATGGGATGCGGGCCAGTTCCATGCTATAAGCAGTTCCTTTGGGCTGCCGCCGTCATCCCCTTGGCCACGGTAGCCCCTTGATCTGTCATTAAGACCATACATATAAATGGAACCAGCCAGGACAGAATGTCTTGTCGGTCTCTTGCACTGGGCACAATGAGAGTACATGCCCCTCCTCACCTTCTCCTCCGGGCAGCACTCCTGCCAGCTGCCCCATCCCTCCCTCCCTCCCACCACCAGGTCACTGTGATGGGGACTGCCTGGGTCCGTAGGTTGTGGCTGCCAGAGGGGCAGAGCCAGGGCCCCTTCCCACAGTCTACTTCTGCTCCCCCAACTCACCCACATAATGGTCAATCTCCAGTTGCTGGAAGATGAGGGGCTCTGTTTGAGGGTCCAGGGGAGGTGGGGCAGGCCGCACCCAGCGGGAATCTATGGCTTCAGAGAATTGCCCTGGATGGGGGTGGGGAAGCAGGGTTTGATGGTCTGCCCTTGGAAAGAAGTGCCTACCCCCCAGACCAGCCCTTGGTTCCTCAATGGCCCAATTCATAGGATGTCAGGTGGAGGTGGTGATCTGAGTCAGGCAGGAGACTCAGGAGAGACTGGGGTCGAGGGTCAGAGTCAGAATGGAAGCTGTAAGCCACAAATGATGATCCTGGTGTGGGGTCAGAAGTCGCCCCTTTCGAGGACCCCAGGCGAGCCAGAGGTCAGTTCTGTGGCTGAGTCCAGAAGCAAGACTGCAGGGGCTCCCACTCCAAGCCTCACCACCCGCGGCCCCCTCTAGGGCCAGCTGCAGCTCCTCCTCCTCCTGCTCGCGCAGCCGCTGTTCTGCCTCCAGCAGTGCCAGGTCCTCTTCAAACTGGGATGGTGGAGGCGCCTCCTCCTCATCCCACAGTCCCCTACGGGCCCGCTTCGGGGGCACCCCAGGACCCAGGCCTGACTGCCACTTGCCATCCATCCTGCCAAGAAGGGGGCGTTCGGTGGGTTTCTGACCAGACCCTCCTCCCCCTATCTTCTCCCCGCCTCCCAACCCCTACCCTGACCATGAGTCCTTTAGTACTCTGGAGTGGCCCAGGAGTAACCCAACTCCATCCCACACTCCAGACACTCAAGTACTTCTTAAGGCACCCCTTCTACCCCACCCATTTAACCCCTTCCTCACCCGCTCCAGCCCCCACATCCCCTTCCCTGTTTACCAGAGCCCTATCTCCCTGTCCCCCATCAGGATCCTTGGCTTATCCCTTAATTTCCTAGAAGCCCCTGTCCCTGATGCCCTCCTTACCCACCATCCCACGTGCCCTTCAGGTGAACAAGGAGCCTGTAGCTGTGCTCAGTGCCAGGAAGGGCCTGAAGCACATCCGACCATGTCCCTTCCCTGCCTGAGGTTCACACAAACACAGGACACCACACTGTGGCCGATTCCTGCTGTGATTCACGGCCAAATTCCCCCTTTCCAGGTGAGGCAGTTTCGCCCACAGTACCCTGTGCCCTTCCCCCAGAGGCTCCATGCTCCTGTTCGAGAAAGCTTGCCTGTCACTCTCCGGCTCCCTCTGCAGCATGCACACGCCTCACCATTCCCTCTCCCCTGCATCAGAGAGCTGGGTGCAGACACCACGCCCCCCACACTTGAACAAGCAGCTCTAATAAGCTCTAATAAGGACATTCCCTTAAACAAGCACAGTGCAAGGATCAGGCCAAAGACACTTAACAGTGACTCAGGAAAGCAACCAAATAGTGTTTCTTAATTTCTCCAGTTGTCCCCCAAGTGTTCTTTACAGGAGCCTCATGGCGACTGCTCTTTATGTTTTTTGTATTATTTTTCTTTTCTTTTTTGTGCTACTGAGGTTGAACCTTTACCACTCTGAGACACCCAGCCCACCCCTGTTCTCTGCAGTACTGGGGATTGAACTCAGTGAGCTCTGTCAGGAAGCTGCATCCCCAGCCCCCCTTTTTTACTTATTTACTTTGGGGAGTACTGGAGATTAAGCTCAGGGGCACTCAACCTCAGAGCCACATCCCCACCCTATTTTATATTTTATTTAGAGGCAGGGTGTCACTGAGTTGCTTAGTGCTGAGACTGGCTCTGAACTCGTGATCCTCCTGCCTCAGACTCCTGAGCTGCCAGCCCTTTATTTTTGATTCTGAGAAAGAGTTTCACTAAGTTGCCCAGGTTGGCCTTGAACTTGTGATCCTCCTGCTTTAGACCCTTGAACTGCTAGGGTTACAAGTGTACTCCTTTGCGCTCAGCTTAGTCCAGACCTTATGAAAGAAAGGCTGCAAGATGCTGAACTGCCAGAGGATCTGTGAGGGCAGGTGTGCGGGCGTGGCACACAGAGGAGCAGGTGACTGAGAAACACACAGGAGACAATCTCAAATACAAACCGTGTGCGTGGCGGTGTAGCTCAGGGACAGAGTGAGCTCACCACCAGCACTGCAAAAAACAAAACTAAACATGCTGCGGGAGAAGCCAGACACAGAGCGTGTGTGCTTGGGGAACAGGGACTGACAGGGTGTGGGACTTCTGAAAGTGACGGAATGTTCTGAAACTAGACAGAGGTGCTGGATGAACTATAGAGTGAATGTCATCAAACGCTGAAGAGTTGTTCACTTTACAAGGTTGATTTCATCTCAGTACCAGAGGAAAGTCCACACCATGTGATGCCATTTACGTGGAGAACAGACACACTGGTCTTTGGTACTAGAAATCAGACTAGTGGCTGCTTCTAAGATGGGAGGGATTGACAAAGAAGGGGTACAAGAAAATTTCCTGGGATGACAGAAACATACTGTACATCAAACTGCACACCTGGGACCTGTGCATTTCACTAAGTGTAAATTACAGTTCAATTACAAATTACAAACATAAAGGTGATTCCATATCTTCGGATTTATGCTGCAGATATATTATCACGTCTGAAAAGACTGCATTTACAAGGTTATTTCCGGCAGCATTGTTTGAAATCCCAAAAGACTGGAAACCACCTAAATGCCCGCCCCTGGAGAACTGTCCAAATAAATTACATTAATTCTACTCCAAGGAATACTATGCAGCTCTATAAAGGGAGGAGGAAGCTCTCCAGTGCTGATAGGGAAGGCGCTCAAAGAGGTATTGTTCAGTAGACAAAGCAAGGTACAGAAAGTGAACTTTGACTTTCATGTTTTGCATTTAAAAAAAAAAAAAAAAGATATCGAAGAAAAAAATGTTTGCCCTAATACTAGTCACTGGGTAACAATCAAACAAATCCCAAGTGGAGGCTGGCCACAGCTGGTCTGGATCTTTAAAACTGTCATTGCCATAAAAGAAAAAGAAAAATCCACCGTGATGACAAAATGCCATGTGTGAGCCCAGATGTGACCCTGGAGTGAAAGATCAAAACCAGCTCTGAAGGATATAACTGGGACAACTGGGATTCGATGACAGAATAAACCAGCTCATGTTAAACTGCCCAAGTGCGGTAGCTATACCATACTTATGCAGTGGGCATCCCAGTTCCTGGGGCATCCCTGCTGGAGTTTTTGGAGGAAGAAACACCATGATCACAACATTCAAATGGTTCAGCAAAAAAGAAAGAAAGGAATACATGTCCATGTGCTTAAGACAAAACACCCCAGGCGGGGCTGGGGTTGTGTCTCAGAGGTAGAACGCTCGCCTAGCATGTACGAGGCCCTGGGTTCGATCCTCAGCATCACATATAAATAAAGGTATTGTGTGCAACTACAACTAAAAAATAAATAAATATTAAAAACACACACACACACACACCAGGCCTCGCTAATCATCAATGAACAGGCAGAGGGGAATGGTACCCTGCTCATGATACTCAATAGGCAACTTCTCTGCAGGTTTGAAATTTTTCAAAATAGTAAGCTTGGGTGGGGGGGGGGGGCGACACATAAAAGAGTAGCACTGTTTAACAGGGGTATCACTGTTTAACAAGATGGGTGGTAGAAAACATGTGTCCCTAATGCATCACTCTGGTAGTGCTGGTTTCCAGGGGCAGAATGGACAGATGGCTTTCTGAAGTGCTTTATTCAGATATTAATCCAGACACCATGCAACCCACCTGCAAGTACCTTCAGTGGTTGTGAGAGTATTTACAGATGTGCAACATCTCCACAATTCTATTTAGAACACTTTCACCCCCACCAGGAGACAGACAGTGGCTTCAGCTATCACCCCCACTGAGCCGATGCCCCAGCCCTGGGGAACCACAAATCAACACTCTGTGGATCTGCCTCGTCTGGGCATGTCCTGTACGGAATCTTAGAACATCCTTCTTCCACTTGACATTTGCAAGGTCCATCCTGTTCAGTGCTTGGCTCTTCCGTGCCTGTTTTCCCTCTGCATAGACAGACCACGCTTTCTTTTTCTATCACCACTGATAAGCACTAGGAAGGAAAGCCCCTCACCAGGGTCTACCCCTCTCCCCAGCGCCGGCTTGGGACAAGCCCCTGGCAAACACTGCTCTTCCCCTCTCCAGGCCCTTCAGTAGCACGTGCTCAAAGGCAACCAACCGCAGTGATCAAACACCACCAAGGCTCACTGGGGCAGAAGCAAGTCTGAGTCTCCTTCTCTCAGTGACCTCATCCCATCTCACAAACTTGACAGCTGTTTTTTTTTTTTTTTTAATTTTGTTTTTTTGAGGTGCCAGAGATGGAACCAGGGCCCCCACATGCTAGGCAAGTGCTCTGCCGCTAAGCCACGCCCCCAGCCCTCCTGGGCAGCTGCAGACTCTCCCCCATTGTGTCTCCAGCCTGGGACCTCTCTCCAAGCTGCCAACGGCCCTCCCAATGTCTCCACTGGGAGCTGAGAGCATGTCCTTCCAGGCATCCTGGACTCCAAAGGTAAACAAGCTGCTCTCTGCACCCCATGGTCTCCCCCAATTCAGCAAGTGGCATTTTCTATGAGGCCAAGACCTTGGAGCCACCAGGACTTTTCTCTCCCCCCAACACACACACACTCCACTGCAAACTCTGCCCATCTGGCCGTCTACCAGATGCAAGCCCAACCGCTCCCGGGCCTCTTTTCTTTTGTGCACTGCTGCTGTCTGCCTCCCTCTGCTGGAAGGTGAGCTCAGCGCAGGCAGAAAGGGCCAGTGTGGCAGAGTTCCCCAGGAGCCCCTAAGGGTGCGTGGCACAGAGTGCTCTGGAGAAACAAGAATTGGATGAATGGCCCCTCTGGGCCTCCCCCATCCCCTGCTGCCAGGGTATTCTCCACATGGCAGCCAGAGGATTCTGCACCACAGGCAGGACCATCCTCTCTCTCTGCTCAGACCCCACCTCCCACCCTTTCCCTCTGACTCAAGTGGCTCCAGCGACTAGGCTTGTGGCTTTGTAACCACCAGCTGCAGCCCAAGCTTAGGACCTGGCACAGGTGGTTCCCACCCAAGCTCTTCCCCAGGCATCTGTCCCCTGGCCCCCCCTTCGCGCCTCTGCTCCGGCTGCTTCTCAGCAACTCCTGCTAGCTGGGCAGCTGCCCTCCTGTCCGCCCCCCAACCCCTCTCCTGCTGTTTTTTCTGGGTGGCGCTTACTTTCTAGTGTGCTGCACCCACCGGTTCTCAGAGTTTTCAGAATGGTCCCAAGAGCTTCGGGTAAGAGTTTGTAGGAAAAGCTCATTGTCAGGCTTCACCCAGACCTACAGAACCAGGACTTCTGTGGGGCTGTGTTGTGGTCATCTCGAGAAATTTTAGCTTATGTGTTCCTTGAAAAGAGATCAGGGTCTTGCCCATGTCAGGGTCCCCAACATTACAGGTCACTTCAAGATGTGAGTGTAGTCTCCTACCAAGTGTCCCCAACTTTGATGAGTCCCCCCTGAGCCACCAGATACTTAACTTGGCTCCCAAAGACCAGCACTGCCTCCCTCACCCCCAACTTCAGCATTTAGCACTGACTTTTTTTTCTTTTTCTGGGATACTAGGAATTGAACTCAGGGGCAAAACCACTGAACCACATCCCAGCCCTATTTTGTATTTTTTATTTTTATCTAGAGTTGCTTAGCACCTCACTTTTGCTGAGGCTGGCTTTGAACTTGATCCTCCTGCCTCAGCCTCCTGAGATGCTGGGCTTACAGGCAGCTCTGACTTTTGAGAGCTCACAGCACCCTGAATCGAGATCTCCTGCTCTCCCAACCAAACCGAATTATCACTGGCTCCCCAGTACCCTGCAAATGGTCTGCCCCAAGAGCAGGTGCTTGAAGGGCTGAAGAAGGTGCTGGCAGGAAAGGCCAGGCTTAGGAAAGGAACCCCTCTAAGGGACAGGAGAGGCCCAGGAGGAAGAAGTACAGGAAGGAGGGCGAAAGACAAGGTACAGATAGTGACATCATCTTTCCCTGCCTCCTCACTCTGCTAAGCTCTATCCTTGATGGCACAACAAAGCTGCTTCTCCCTCAGCCTTCCCATCTGGACTGCTGCTCAAACCACAAACCCAGGAGTCTTCCTGGGCTCATCCTCTTCTTACCCACATGGTCCATCTATTCTCTCTGCCAGTCCTGTAGGCCTCAGACCCCCACTGCACCCTTATCTCCTAGTTTGGCTCTCCTCCCACTCTTACTCCTGATACAAGACAATCTCCAACTAGCAGCTGTTGAATTTTCCAAAATGCAGGCAGATTTTATTGTCCCATGCTCAAATCCTCCCATGGCTCCCCAGTGAACACAGAATAAAAGCTAAGCCCCAAACCAAGGCTTACAAGACCCTACCGGATCTAGTCCCCATCATGTTTCTGACTTCATCTGCATTTTGTATCTCTCCTGTTTCCTCACCTTCAGCTACAAATACACCAAGCTCCTTTCTACCTCAGGGCCTTTGCACTTGCCAGTCCTTTGCCCAGATCTTTCCTTACCAGGCTGATTTATCTCAAACATAACTTTCCCGGTCAGGTTGATTCCGGGTCACTCTAGCTAGTGACGCCCCATCGTGATCACGTGAGCCTGTTTCATTTCTCCTCCCACAAGGCACCACTACCTGAAAGCATGGCTTTACTATCACTTCTTACACGTCTGTCGTCTGCCCTCCCCTGAGGTGAGGGCCTTCTCAGACTTGGTGATGCTGCAGCCACTGCTCCTAAGATAGTGCTCTGAAAGCAGTTCTATCAACTTCTAGCGAATACGGGACCACACCGTGCTCACACGTGCACCAACCAAACCCCCAGCGCCTCGCGGGCCGCGGCCCCAACTCGCGATGCGCCCCTCGCAGATTCCCTGCAGCCGCACAGTCCAGCGCCGCCTGGAAGACCACTGGCCCCTGCCTCGCTTCCTCGCGCCCCCGAGTCAAGGGGGTCCCTCCCGCCACCACGTCCCAAGCCACCTGTTAGTACACCCCCTCAAGACTCTTCCCGGCTCCTCGAGATCCCCTCCCTGCCTGGCAGGGATCCACAGATACCCTCTTACTTACTCACCCGCTTCAAACAGCGTTTCCCGCCACAGCGTAAGCAGCCGTGACCCCTGACTCCGGCGCGCGCAGGCCCAGAGCCGCCGCGCGCCGAGCCGGGCCACGCCCCAGACCGCTCAGTGCGACCAAGGCCACGCCCAGCCAGGCAACTTGCCCCACCCCTTCCCCCCCCAAGACGAGGCAAGCCACGCCCCTGGGCTCCGCTAGGGTGATGACTAACCCCGCCCCGTTGCAAATTCCCGACAACCCCACCCCTCATGACGTATGGGACCCGAGGCCACGCCCCTCCCGGCTGCGGCCCTCCCAGCTCCCGGGGTTGGCCTGGCCAGCTGCCCCGCCACCCCTACTACCCCTTCGGGCCTCCCGCCTTCGGGCGCCGTGCGTGCACACTCCTCTCCTAACCTGCCTCCCTCCGAGGTCGCCTCCCGGGAACTACCGAAGTGGACGCCGCCCTCACCGCAAAGGTTGGCCGTTATGGGTCGGCCCCGAGCCTGTTTCCCCATCTGCAAATAACTAGCGCAAGGTAGAGACACCTTTGGGGTGCCCAGCACAATACTTGGAATAAGGCAATTGCGTGTAACCACTCTCATTTCCATTGTCTCCTGCCCCCAATAAATGCACTTTTCCGGTTTCCTGTCGGTTCCTCTAAGCAGCCCTCCCTGTCGCCCCGGGCTCTCCACCAAGCCCACTGCCGTGTGAGAACTTCACAGCTTGCCCTGTGTGTGTGGTCCCTCAACTTGGAGGCCCAGCCCCCAGGTTCTCATATTTTGGGTGCCCTCAAAGACATCGCCTTGGAAAGGCCTCCCCTTCCTCTCTCCAGCTCCCACTGTCCTGTGCTGCCGCCAAACCTCCTTGTCCCTCCCCTCTACCAGTCTCATCCACGTCCCATGTCTCAACTTTATTTTGTTCACTGTTTCCAGGCCAAAAATTGCTGGGCATGTCTAAGCTCTCCATCAGCACTTGGTGTTTGAATGGTGCATCCCTGGAAGGGGCAGCACAGTACCCACCCACCCACGAGGGGCCTTGGCAAATACTTGTTGACTGGACAAAAGTCCCAACCCATCACCAACTTAAATCTTATTTGTCCTTCAAAAGTGGTTCCAAAGCCAGGTGTAGTCAGAGACTTGAGAGACTGAGACAGGGCTGAAAGCTCCAGGCCAGCCTTAGCAACTTAGCAAGACTCTCAGCAACTTAGAGGGACCCTGTCTCAAAAATTAAAAAGCTGGAGATGTAACTCAGTGGTAAAGCACCCTTACACCCAATCCCAGTACCAACCGGAAAAAAAAGGGAAAAAAATGACTCCAATCAATCTTCTTCAGGGAGGTGAGTCTTAACTTGTCAGGCATATGGCCTGGACCCCCCCCTCAGCAGCCAGCCCCTATCTTCCTAGATTGGGATGGTCTGTCACCTCAACAGCCTGGCAGCCTGAAGAGGCTGCTGGTCTGTCTACTGAATTAGATTCAGAGGCTGGTGTTAATGAGGACCGTGAAAGCTCACCCCCTCTCTACCTATACTTAAGGGTTGGCTTGTTCTCGTATTTTCTTGTTTTTGTTTTTAGTTTTTATTAAATAAAAGGAGCAGAGGAAGAGGGGGACCTATGGTCTCCAGGGCTGTGAAGTTATGGGCCCTCCCCTTCCCTCCCTCTGTTCAAGGTGCATTGAGCAGTAGAGGTGTAAGCTGGGTGGGAAGGGCAGCTGGGAAAGGTCGGAGGTTAGGACCAGTGACCCATCACCCTTCCTGGAAGACTCAGTGGGAAGGGAGGGACCACAAGGGTGCTTCAGGTCACAGCTGAAACCATAGGCCTGCCCTGGCCCCTTTCCACCCCAGGAAGAAGAGAGTGATAGCGTCCATCTGTTGGAGGGTGGTCAGGCAAGGTTGTGGACCAGGATGACCAGCCCCTTACTCATGGACGTCCCAGATCTCAGACAGCAAAGGTGGCAACTTCTTGTCCTGGAGTCGCAGGGCAAAGACCTGCTCCGAGTGGACGGAGCTCAGCGTGCGTAGGCTCACAAGCTTCATCAGCATGCGTGGGAAGCGAAGCTGGTCCTGCAGGCCGACAGGAGGGAGGTGGCTGCTGGCAGGGCCCCTGCCTGCAAGGAGGGCCTCCCTTCTCCAATTAGCCAGGAGAGCCAGGGTAGGGAGCAACCAGGCATAGTACAGGCCCCACCCAGGGCTGGGGAAGCTGTCCTTTGTGAAAGGATAGAAGCCTGAGGACAGCTCTGATGAGCAGACAGTGCCTGGAGCTCAGAACATCACAGTGGGGCAGGCAGAGACCGGGCTCAGACTAGGAAGCAAGACCCTAGCCCCAGAGTGACGCTTTGTGGGCATGGACTCCCCTCCCACCCCAGGGGGCCACAGGCTCTAGGTGGCTCCAGGACCTAGTACCTGTGGCCTCTTGATGCGAGTGTAGGAGAGCAGAGCCTCCACATAGGGCTGCTGCAGGGCCTCCACGCGGCTTGGCTCCTGCACATTGGGTCGGTCAGCAGAGAAGATGTTAATGGCAATGAGGAGTGCATACTCTGCATCGTCCAGGCCCAGGCGCCGCATGGCCCGTGAGAACTCGAAGATGGGATTGATGAACTCCACTTGCAAGCCTGTGGGGAGAGGGCCACCTGATCAGCTCTCAGGCCTAAAACCAGGCTCCAGACCCCGGTCCCCATGCCCAGCCAGTAAGTGAGGGGATCAGCAGTGATCAACGTCCTGTCATTTCTACACCTGTCCTGTGCAGCTCCTCCCTGTTTTCACAGACTCTGTCCTTGCCTGCACAAGAGCAGAGGGTATTTAACCCAAGTAGTGTTCTGCCAGTCCCTGCATGGTTCCACTGCTCTGGAGGTCAATTCCAAACTCATTTGAAACTGATGTGTTCATTTATTCATCCAACATTATTGAGCATCTTTTTGGGCCAGGCCCAAGGGTAAAGCTGTTCTTAAGATAAAGTCCTGGGGGGGGGGGCTGAGGTTGCGGCTCAGCGGTAGAGCACTCACCTAGCACATGTGAGGCGCTGGGTTCGATCCTCAGTACCACATAACAATAAATAAAATAAAGATATTGTGTCCAACTACAACCAAAAAAATATTTAAAAAAAAAAAAAAGATTAAAGTCCCAGGCTGGGGTTGTGGCTCAGTGGTAGAGTGCTTGCCTAACATGCATGAGGCTCTGAGTTCGATCCTCAGCACCACATAAATGTAAAATAAAGATATTGTGTCTACCTAAAACTAATAAATAAATATTAAAAAAAGAGAGACAAAGTTGCAATTCTTGTAGGACTCTGGGGTTGAAGGAACAGATGACAAACATATTAATAAATACCCAGCTTATCAAAAGGTGATGAAAAAAAAAAAAAAAAGGTGATGAACTTTTGGAATAATGTACAGCAGAGTAATTAGGACAGTTGAAATCTGTTTACATCTTACATGTGGTGGACAGGAAAGGCCCCACTGTAGGAGAACATTTGAGCAATGACCCAAGGAGGTGAGGGAGCAAGTTCCAAGACTATGTGAGTGTCCTGGGCAGGGCGACCAACTATCTGTATCCAGGCCACAAGACTGTGTGTGTTCAAACTGGGCAGATCCTGGGCAAACCTGAACAAGTGGGTCACCTGGTTCCAGGGGAGAGAACAGCAAATGGAAAGGCCTTGAGGCTGGAGCATGTTTGATGGGTTCAAATAAGAGTGAGAAGGTCAAGGATCGAGGGGGAGAGGGCAGAAGCTAAGGGCAACAGCTGAGAGCAGAGAGGAAAAAGCCAAGTCTTGAAGGGCCTTGTTGGCCACAGTGAGAAGTCTGACTTTTCTCCCAGGAAGACAGGAGCCATGAAAGATTGTGAGCAGAATAGGTAGGAGTTGACTTGGGTGTTGACAGGATCTTTTGAACTGCTTAAGAATAGACCCATTAGGAGGGTAGAGGCAGGAAACCCAGTGAGGGGCCCTTTAAGTGTTCCAGGGAGCCATCCATGAGTGGTAGCAGAGGAGGGGATGGGAAGTGGTGGGATTCCTGACCTCCTCTCCAGCCTCAGCTCTATCACATCTCCTCGTAGTTCCTTAAAACCATCCAGCTCTTTCCCACCTCAGGGCTTTACACATGCCAATCCCCCTACAGCAAACACTCTTCTTCTCCCAAACAATGCCTCTTACTCCCCAGGCCTCAACTCAAACACAATTTCTCCAGGAGCCCCTGCCTAGGTCATGCCCAAGTACGTGCTCTTGGAGCACAGGATGTCCAGGCTGTCCTACACACCAAGGGAAGCTTTGTTTTTGTGATGGGCTGGATTGAGCAGCCTGCCTCCCTCTGAGACAGGTTTGGAGGGAGGTGCCTCTTCCTGATTCCCACTAAGATGCCCTATGTGTTGGCAGAGACTCCTTCCATCAGGGCTCACTAAACACACTCTCATCTTGCTCTCACGTTGGCTCCATGCTCAGCACACTTTGGAGGCTCAAACAAGAATGAGAAGCTGAGGTCCCCTAGCCAGTGGGCGCCAACCTCCCTTCATCCCGGCCCCCTTGGCAACCTGCACGGTGGAAGTCATCCTTGCTGTAGGTGAAGTCCTTCAGGAAGGTGATGCACTCTGTCTCGTGGTTGTAGCGCCGGGCCGTCTCTAGCAGCATGATCTGGGGGCAGCAGGGGGAGGGCATCAAGGGGGTCCCACAACCCTTCAGCTGTTGTCCCTCCCACCCAACCTGAATGGGAGTCCAATCTGGCAAGGATCACCCTCCTGTGCCATGACAGCACACAAGTGGCAGGTTGGACCCTCTGAGTGCTCTGCCTCCAAGCTTCAGCTTCAGCCTGTGCTGCTCCACTCTGGGGTACTCTCTCCCCTAGTAGCTATAAGGGCCAGGGGCAGAAGTTCTGTCTGTTTTGTTCATTGCCATATGCCACAACTTAGGATCGAGCTTCAGATACTGTAGACTCGTTTTTTATTCACTATCTACGATTTGGATCAAATGTCAGTTCCTCTGAAAAGCCTTCCGGGCGTGTATCCACCAAAGCTGGCCTCTCCAGTGCAGCCATTGACTGCTCTCTACCTCAGCTGCCTCTCCGCTCTCTCCTTGGCTTATGGAGGCTCTGGATATCTAATTTAAAATTCAGATGATCCTCCGTGGAATGCCATCCCCACAAGGGTAAGGACTAGCCTTGTTCTTCACTCTGCCCCCAGCATCTGTCCTGGAGCTGTCCCTGAGGTTCCTGTGGGCAGGAGCAAGAGTGGTCTGGTGGTTACCTCAATGGTGGATGCCTTCAAGAGGGCAATCTGGTCCTCACGGCCCAGCTGTAGGAAGCCAGGCACCTGCTTGGCAAAGTCCACGATCTCCTGCACTGAGATGATGGCCAATTCCGTGAAGTGGGCAAAGCGCTGCTGGCGGGCATCTCGGGACTGGGGGTCTGCACCCAGGGGCCAAGGCTGGGATACAGAACAGCAGGGTCACTCCCAGGAATCCTGCACTGAGGGACCCTCCTTTAAAGAGTCCCGCCCTCTGAAGCCTCATACCCCCCACATCCTGGCCCCAGCCCTGCTGGCTCTCCCCACTGGGCCTGTCACTGCTCGAGGCTGTGGAAAGGGCAGTACCGTGACTTTGGGCTGGTCAGAGAAGGAGCGTTTGTTGCACTGCAGCTGGGCCGCCACCAGTTGTTGGATCATTAGTTCCTGAGCCGCTGTTAACTGGACACCCTCGCCTTCCCCTGAGCCCTGGCCACCTGCCTCAGACCCTCCAGGGGATGCCCCAGGCCCAGAGGCTGAGCTGCTGCTGCCACCTGGCTCCACAAGTGACTGCTGCTGCTGCTGCTGCTGCTGCTGTTGTTTCTGAATCTTCTTCTTCCGGATCTGTTCCTCAGAGAGGACACCTGTGGGGAACACGGGCCTCAGCAGAGGCTCCAGGCCTGGGCAGGGGCAGGCTGTACCACCCTTCCCTGGCACTCACACTGCTCCCGCATCCCTGCCTCCTTGCACTTGCGCAGCCGGCACTGCTGGCACTTGCGCCGCATGAAAGCGTCCATCTGGCAGGTTCCACCGCCCCGGCAGGCATAGCGCCCAGCCCCACCGTGGACCACACTACGCCGGAAGAAGCCCTTGCAGCCTTCACAACTGAGCACATTGTAGTGGAAGCCAGAGGCCTTGTCCCCGCACACTCGGCAAAGTTCATGGCCCAGCATCTTCGGAGCAGGGCCCTTCTTCCTCTTGCGCTCCGGCTCCTCCTCTGGCTCTAGGATGACTGGGATGGGCAGACAAAGGCCATGAGAGAGAGCCACAAAGAGAAACAGCTGCCAGAGGGTCAGGCCCATGAGAGATCCCAAGGCGAAGAACCAGAGGACGAAGGGTGAGAGGAGATGTGCACACCCAGAGGGGCTGCAATGCAGAGGGAAAGACGTCCAAGTCAGTAGACCCCCAAGAAGGAATCAAAGTAGGAGGCATTAAGGAGAAACGGAAGGAAAAAGAAAAAGAAACGGGCCTCCCATCTCCCCATCCTTGTTTCTCCCTTTCTAGATCCCTCCATGAGCCCCACACCAACTTCCAGACCCCTATCCCTATCTCACCTTCTATGAAGGCGGAGCTGGCCCCATCAGTGCCTAGAGCTTCAGGGTTCAAACCCTCTGGCCACAGCTCAGGGCCCTCCTCCTTTATAGTGGGTGAAGAAGAGGAGGTGCTGGGCTGAGGAGGGCCATTTCCTGGGAAAGGGAGGAAACAGAAGGAGGGACATTGAGCTTCTATTGCCAGTGTATGATGGGGAATAAATGGGGAAGTCTCACTCACCAGGCACGGGGCTGTCCAGGGAACTTGTGGTGGGGGAGGACATGGTGGGGTCACGGAGCAGCCTACAGAATATGGGAAGGGTTGAGAGATTTCTGAGGCCAGGGACAGGCAGGTCAGACCAGTTGTCCTGATGGGGGTGCTCCTCTTTCACCTCCGGCAGAATTTTTTAAAAACGACTACACAAAGACTCCACTCTCAGCCCTAGCCCTACTTTTTCTTTCCTTCTTTTTTCTCTTTTTTGGTGCGGGAATGGAACCCAGAGCCCCCACGTGTTAGGCAAGGGTTCTACCACTGACTCACACCCTCAATTCTTTTAATTTTTTCACTATGAGACACAGTCTCACTAAGTTACCCATGCTGGCCTTGAACTTGCCACCCTCCAGCTTCAGCCTCCCTAGTTGCTGGGATTACAAACTCGGGCCACCTCATGGGGCTCTCTCCCCACCCATTTAAACAATGCCCGCCCCCTTCTGCTCCATGCCAGCCTTCACCCTCAAGTCCCGCCCCTTCTCCAGGTCCCACCCACCAGCTCCAAGAAACAATCCTTCTTAAATCACGCTCTGTCCTCAAGTCCTCCCTCCACCAAGTTTCACACCATCTACTTTTACTAGGCTCCACCGCACTTCTGCTGAGAGCGCCCCCAATTTCTCATCCCGATCCCATCTCCTGTTATGCCCCGCCCCATCTTTTCCTCCTAGGTCCCGCCCACTCCTCCCAGGGCCGACCCTCATTCCTCCCACCATGGAACGTGCCTGCCTTAGAACTCCGCCCCCTCCCCCAGCTTCAGATCCCGCCCATCTCCTCTCTCCATGCCTCGCCCCCACACCTCGCTCCAAGTCCCGCCCCTCTCCGAGCACCAGGGGAAGGCGGGGCTCATGGCTGCGCGCAGGGGTCTTGTGGGCGGTCTTTCGCGGGGTCTCCTACTCTGTTGTTCTGGAAACAGCCAGGGGAGGCGCAAGCTACAGAAGAGAGGGACGTAAAGGAGAGAGCGAGGCTGAGTGGAGTGGCGCGGACCACCCAGGAGTCTCTGGCCGGGCTTCTCCCGCGCCTCCCCACTCTTGGGAACACTTGCCTCCGTCCCCTTGCTCTGCTTCTCTTTCTCCTCCTCCTCAGCCCCTAACAGACGACCGCTACTGGGTCCCCTCAAAAGTAACTTCGGGGCGTTGGGTGTGTAGCTCAGAGGCACAGCACTTGCCTAGCATGCGCGAAGCCCTGGGTTCGATCCCCAACACCGCAAGAAAAAATAGGAGGAAAAGTAACTTCGCCACTTCTTCCGGCAACCCGGCCGAGCGTCACCTCCGGAAAGGGGCGGAGAGCCAAAGGTGACGGACTTCCGGTCTCCTTAGGACCCGCCTGGAATCCATTGCCCCGCACGGAAGTCATAAGCTCACCGGAAGTGTTCCCTACCGGGTAGCTCCACTGGAGTCACGAAAAAGAGTTCCGGAAAGTTCCGTTCAATGTTGAGCAAGAGGGGCGCAGGTGACCCCCAAATCTTCCGGGTCCGCGTTCTCGGGCCTTGTTCCACCCATGCGCTTCCGTCGGCCGGCGCCCAAAGACTTAATGGACATAAATCTCCCCAGCAATGACTGCCTCTCGCACAAGATTTATTCGAAGACTGTTTGCCTTTTTTTTGCTTATTACATGATTTTCTGATATTGTGGGTGTGGTGTATGTTAGTTTTAAATAAGTTAAATCACAAACATAGATCCAGAAAATATATATATAGTGCGGGATATGAAATCCAAGGCCTCATTCATGCTGTGCGAGCGCTCTACCACTGAGCTTGCACCTGAAAACATTTTGGAAAAAGAAAAAAAACCCTGTTGATTGAAACCTTCAAAAATAAGAAATATGGTCTCCACTACCCAAAATGGTAAAAATAAATAGCTCTTTAAGAAAATTCAGAGGGGCTGGGATTGTGGCTCAGCGGTAGAGCGCGTGCCTAGCACGGGCGGGACCCGGGTTCGATCCTCAGCACCACATAAAAATAAAGGCATTGTGTTGTGTTCATCTACGCCTAAAAAATAAATAAAAAAAAAATTCACATAGAAGATGAAATTGCTCCAAAGATTTTTTTTTGCTCACTGATAATCGATTTTTAGCATATCAGTTTATCAAGCATATATGATACTTTTTAATTGTTATAATTTTTGTGGTGCCGAGAATTGAACTCACCAGGCCTCACTCAAGCTAGGCAAGGCCTCTAGCACTCTGCTGCACTCCACCATGAATGTTTTTTCAGTTTATTTATTTATTTTTTTTTAAGAAAAAACAATGTGTAATGCATGCTCTTCTTCAACTTGCATTGTTCATTCAGACTGGCATTTGTAGCTATGGAAATTTCCATCCAAGAACATCATAAATAAAATGTGGTTAATGTGAGCATCCAGATCTGGCAGAACCTGGTGTCTCTGTCACCTCCTTGCTCTGCCATGGTTAAGCCAGGATACTTAACCTCCCTGAATCTCTTTCCTTGTCTGTAAATGGGAGAGAGAACTGACCTGATTGTATTGTTCTTGTAATTACTTGAGGTTAAAGGGATGAAGAGACCTGGGCTCAAATTAGTCTGACATGTTGGAGCTTTGTTTATTCCTATGGGGGTTAAAGTTCTTTAATTCCTTTTTTTTTTTTTTTTTTTAAAGAGAGGGAGAATTTTTTTCATATTTATTTTTAGTTTTCGGCAGACACAACATCTTTGTTTGTATGTGGTGCTGAGGATCGAACCCGGGCCGCACGCATGCCAGGCGAGCGCGCTACCGCTTGAGCCATATCCCCAGCCCTAAAGTTCTTTCTAACTTAACACTCTTAGAAAAGTGCAAAAGGCTGATAGGGACTTAATATGAATCACTGTACCACACTTTTGGGGTGAGTCACATGAGGCTCAGTATCCACTGACCTGATTGTAAAATGGGGGAAATTGTATGTTGTGAAGAGTGTAAGAGCTCAGCAAACCCTGCATCTGGCATTTGTAAACACCCAGTCAGTAGCAGTGTTGCCTGAATCTAGTTGTGGACCAGTGTTTTCATTTGTAACTGATTCAATACCCACACCCATTTAGGTAACAGCTTTATTGAGCTATAACTCACACTCTATAATTCACCCATTTCAGTAAAATTCATTTTTTAGCATATTCACAGAGTTCTGCAATTATTACCATCAACAAATTTATTTATTTTTATTTTGGTTATTGACTGGTTGGCTGATTCTATTGTCTTCTGGCCCTGTGGTGGTCCTGTTGCCTCTTTCATTATTCTGCAAACACACAGAAAGCCTACAGGCCTCAGAGCTCCCTATGAACCACTGCATCAGGCTGGTTCTTCTTTAGCTATCATTATCTTTTATTTAAATAGAAACAGTAGCTACCAATCTTGTTACATAATACAACAGTAACTTAAGAGTGTTAAACCAATGCAGAAACTATTGTTGACAGGAATATTCACTAATGACATAACAGAAATGTTGTAATGTTTCAGCAAGCTGACTCCTTGACTCTTTATTTAGAAATTCAGAGCTGTAATTGGCTTTAAAAACGTCTAACTTCAACTTCTGTATTTTATTTATATTTGCAGTGCTGGGGATCAAACTGAGGGCTCATACATGCCAGGCAAGTTCCCCCAGTGATCATCATGAATGATTTTAGAATATTTTTTTGCTACCCCCACAAAGAAACCCCACAGGCATTAGATGCTACCTACAATTTTCTCATCCCACCTGCAGCCCTAGGCAACCATTAACCAACCTTTCATCTCTATGATATTTCCATATTCTGGGCATTTCCTATAAACAGTATCTAGACTGTTCTTCTTTGTGAGGTTATCTTTCACTTATGTTTTCAAGATTCATCTATGTTGTAGCATGTATGAGTGCTTCATTACTATTTATGGCTGAATGATATTCTATTGTATGGATATACCATTGTTTATCCATTGGTCAAAAATTTGTCCATGAATATTTTTAGCAGCATTATAAGCCAAGAATAAAAACAACCCAAATATATGTAGATTCATAGGCCCGTATCATGAAGTACCCGCAAGTAGCTCAGAGGGTTAGTGAACTGTTATTTGACTTTCTGCCAGTGGCGCTAGGCCAGAAAGGGCAAAGTGACCCAAGTGCACAGGCACATGCCCTCAATTTTCACACAGTGCTATTTCCAAGTAGGGAGGCTACTTGTCCCTCTGAGGTTTTGTACCACTGGAAATTCCCACCCCTTAACCTAACAAAAGCCCCAAGCCTCATCATTCTGGCACATTTGGGTCCCTAACCTCTCTCTGCCCACCCCTTTCTGAGCTGCACCTCCTTTCCTCTCACCTCTTCCTGGCTTACTGTAATTCCTATCTCTGCCTTGCTGTGCTTCTGCTTTTGTCCTGCACATATTGTTTAATCTTAGGCATTATACCGATTAGTATTTGGGTTGTTTTTATTCTTGGCTATAATGCTGCTACAGATATTCATGGATAAATTTTTGTGTAGGCATGTTTTCACTTCTCTTGGGTTTGTACTTTGGTGTGGGACTGTTGGGTTATTTGGTACTCTATGTTTAGCCTTTTGAGGAACTGTCAAAATGCATGCATCATTTATATTCTTATCATTTGAAATCTTAAATTTCTCCACTTTTTTTTTTTTTTAAAGAGATGAGGTCAGCCAGGTTTCTGTTCTCGCGACTAAAAGGCTCAGGGGTCACTCCAGGTAAACTGGGCTGACTGGGGTGTGCAAAATAACCACACAAGAGACAAAAATACCTTTTTCTTTGGGGTCACTGTGATGGCTCCTCTGACCTTAAGGGTCCGCGGGAAGAGAGAGAGCTAGAGCAAGTGGTGACCCCTTTTATTGAGGAGAAGCTATTCAAATGAGGCAAGGGGTCAGGTTTCAGGGGGCTGAGTCTATCTTCATGATGTCCACTGTCAGCAGGTTGACTGACACCTGGGTAGGCCACACCCAAGGGCACAGTAAGAGGAGGGGACATACACAAGGCACTTCCATGGAAGATTCTATCCTAAACAGGGCAAGGGGTTATATTACAAAGGAATAGGTGAGCATAGCTTCACCCATGGGGCTGTAGGAAGACACACCCATGCACGAGACACCAACTCTCACACCCAAGAAGGATGGGGAAAGCTCTGCCACATTTCTGTGACTGAGTGCCTCAGCACCCAGTCGGGGAGTGTGACCCAGTCACGTGCAATGTTGGTCTCCCACAGAGGTCTTTTTGCTCTGTTGCCCACTCTGACCTGAAACTCCTGGATTCTAGTGATCCTTCTGCCTTAGCCACCCAGTTAGCTGTGACTATAGGTGCTGACCAGTATTCCTGGCTCCTATTTTCTCCACATTTTTTTTTTTTTTTTTAGTACTGGGGATTGAACCCTGGGGTACTTAACCACTGAGTTACATTCCCAGCCCTTTTTATTGATTTATTTATTTATTTTAAAAATTTGAGACACAGTATCAGTAAAGGGCCCAGGCTGACCTCAAATTTGCAAATTTATAAATTTGTGATCCTCTTACCTCAGCTTCTGGGATTATAGGTCTGGGCCCGCACAGGTAACCCAGCTGGTTACCTTTTTTGTGTTAAGATTGAGACAGAAAGAATTTCATTACCATGCTAATTGAACTAGCCTGTTTGGGAAATTTGTGTCTTTAATGCTGATTTCTCTGAACAGTTTAGTTTCATCTTTGGCACGAGTGACTCCATTTTTTTTTTAAATTTTATCTTTATTTATTTATTTTTATGTGGTATTGGGATCGAACCCAGGGCCTCGCCCATGCTAGGCGAGCACTCTACTGCTGAGCCACAGTCCCAGCCAGAGTGACTCCATTTTGATTCTTAGTCTGTTGGGAGTTTAAAAGAATGACCTCCTGGGGCTGGGGTTGGGGCTCAGTGGTAGAGTGCTTGCCTAGCACAAGTGAAACATTGGGTTCAATCCCCAGCACCCACATTAAAAAAAAAAGAATGACCTCCTGTAACTT